ATATCCCCTATGGAAAGCCAAGGATTCATTCCCACAAACTGAGCCAGGGATGGATCAGAGAGCTTCAGATCTCTCTCCAGGGAAACCAAAAATTCCTCCAAACCAAGCCAGGGATGGATCACAGAGCCCAAATATCCCCTCCAGGAAAGCCAAAAATTCATTCCCCGAAAATGAGCCAGGGATGGATCAGAGAGCCCCAAATATCCCCTTCAGGAAACCCAAGGATTCCCCCAAAATGAGAAAGGGTTGGATAAGAGAGCTCCATATCCCTCTCCTGGAAAACCAAGGATTCCCAGAACTGAGCCAGGGATGGATCAGAGAGCCCCAGATCTCCCTCCAGGAAAACCAAAAATTTCTGCAAACTGAGCCAGGGATGGATCAGAGAGCTCCAGATCCCTCTCCAGGAAAGCCAAAAAATTCCCCCAAACTGAGCCAGGGATGGATCAGAGAGCCCCGGATTTACCCTACAGGAAAACCAAGGATTCATTCCCACAAACCGAGCCAGGGATGGATCAGAGAGCCCCAGATCTCCCTCCAGGAAAACCAAAAATTCCCCCAAAATGAGCCAGGGGTGGATCAGAGAGCCGTAGATCTGCCCTTCAGGAAAACCAAGGATTCCCCGAAAATGAGGCAGGGATGGATCAGAGAGCCCCAAATATCCCCTTCAGGAAACCCAAGGATTCCCCCAAAATGAGCCAGGGGTGGATCACAGAGCCCCAAATCTCTCTCCAGGAAAACCAAAAATTCCCCCAAACTGGGCCAGGGATGGATCAGAGAGCCCCAAATATCCCCTTCAGGAAAGCCATGGATTCCCCCAAAATGAGCCAGGGGTGGATCAGAGAGCTCCAAATCTCCCTCCAGGAAAGCCAAGGATTCATTCCCCCAAAATGAGCCAGGGATGGATCACAGAGCTCCATACCCCTCTCCTGGAAAACCAAGGATTCCCAGAACTGAGCCAGGGATGGATCAGAGAGCCCCAGATCTCCCCTATGGAAAGCCAAGNCCCAGCCGGACACTCACGTTTGCACATATCACTGGGTCCGCTCCATCGCCCGTCCGCACAGACAAAGGAATCCCTGGTGCGAGGATTCCTCCCAAATCCCGGCCGGCACACGTAGTGCACCACGGAGCCCGGAGAAAACCCCTCGGTGCCCTCCTGAAGCTGCCGGGGCTCCGCGGATGCCAAACGCGGCGGGGCACCGCAGTCACCTGCGGGCACAGCTCCGTCACCAACCGGCAAAAAAGAGAGCGATTTCAGGGCATTTCGGGGCATTTCAAAGGGATTTCAGAGGGATTTCAGGCCTGATTCACCCTGCAGGTCCAGGTGAAGACTTTCAGTGACCCAAAAACTCGAGAAGGGCAGCCCTCCGCTCACCCTCCGCAGCTTCACCCTCCGCTCCTGCTTCTCACTCCTCACCCAGCATAAAGTCCGCATTAAGCATTTCCTCTCCCGATTTAATAGAAATTATCGCTTTAATATCAATTTCGCTTTTTCAGCTAAAATAGTTTTGTATCTGCTTCCCGCAAAAAAAGGGGAAAAAAAGGCAAAGGCAGAGGGATTGTGATCACAGAGATTTACAGCGCCCTCGAAAGGCAAAAGCGACGAGGAAAAAGGAAGTATCCAAGTTTTGTAAAACCCAGGAGAAGGTTTTCCTTCGGGGGATTTCTGTTTTTCCTGAGGGATTCGTTCACGTACCGTGGATGGACACAATGAGAGCAGCAGAGAGGAGCGCCCCAAGGGCAGCAGAGCCGCTCCTCAGCCTCCCCAGGATTGACATGTTTATCCCTGCCTGGAGATGTCAAAACCTTTTTTTCCTGGTCCAAATACCTGTAAAGACAGCAGAGATGCATTTAAGGGTTTTTATACTCGGACCAAGCCCAGCTCATATGAACAGCTCTGATTTCTCCATCCCTGAGCAATTCCTACACCAAAGAGGAGCAGAACGAGCCGGGTTTTAATTTCTTTTCTGGAAACTTATGGGTAAAACATTTTATTTTTAGGAATAAATCTTTTGGAAGTGAATTCCTACTCAGACGAAATCCTGCTGGCGTCACCAGCACAGTGCCCTACCAATGAATTACCCTCAGAGAATTATCCAAGCAAAAAAAGTTCCGTCAGCTCTGTGCAAACATTACCTGAGTCAAGCTGCAAAGCTCGCAAGCCAATCAAAACAAATTGCTTTACAAAACGGAATTTCAGGGCAGTTTGCACTCACCTGGCACCCCTAGGGATCTGTAAGAGTCCTGTCTGTGTTATCATTTATGAGGTTAAACCCTCCCACTGTGCCCCAAATGCCCCAAATACCTTCTTTCCTCCTGGAAATGAGGGTCCCCCGGCTGCTCCCTGCCCCAAACCCAACACTCCCCGGCTCTTTCCCTCCTCTGCCTTTCTCTCAACTCCTGTCACACCTCCTGGGTTAATTTGATTTAATTTGCTGACCTTTGTGCCGATCTGGAGCGGCACAGAAGCTCCAATTCCTTCCCCAGAGYAGCACCGGGAGCTGCCTGGCTGGGAATTCTCTCACCTGGAGTTGTGGGGGCAGGAGATGCAGAGCCCTGGTGTGTTCAGCACTCCGAGGATGGAGCAGGGACTGCTCTGAACAGTCACAGGATGGAGCAAGGATTGCTCTCAGCACTCCAGGATGGAGCAGGGACTGCTCTGAACAGTCCCAGGATGGAGCAAAGACTGCTCAGAACTCCAGGTTGGAGCAAAGACTGCTCAAAATGCCAAGGATGGAGCAGGGACTGCTCTCAGCACTCCCAGGATGGATCAGGAACTGCTCTCAGAACTCCAGGATGGAGCAGGGACTGCTCTCAGAACTTGCAGAATGGAGCAGGGATTGCTCAGAACTCCAAAGATGGAGCAGGGACTGCTCAGCACTCCCAGGATGGAGCAGGGACTGCTCAGAACTCGAGGATGGATCAGGAACTGCTCTCAGAACTCCAGGATGGAGCAGAGACTGCTCTGAGCACTCGCAGGATGGAGCAGGGACTGTTCAGCACTCCGAAGATGGAGCAGGGATTGCTCTGAGTACTCCCAGGATGGAGCAGGGACTGCTCTGAGTACTCCCAGGATGGAGCAGGGATTGCTCAGAACTCGAGGATGGATCAGGAACTGCTCTCAGAACTCCAGGATAGAGCAGGGACTGCTCAGCTCTCCAGGATGGAGCAGGGACTGCTCTCAGCATTCACAGGATGGAGCAGAGACTGCTCAAAACGCCGAGGATGGATCAGGGACTGCTCTCAGAACTCGCAGGATGAAGCAGAGACTGCTCAGAACTCCCAGGATGGAGCAGGGGCTGCTCTGAACACTCCCAGGATGGAGCAGGAACTGTTCAGCACTCGGAGGATGGTGCAGGGACTGCTCTGAACACTCCCAGGATGGAGCAGGGACTCCTCTCCTCCAGCCCCAGCCAAAGGAGGGGTTCTGATCCGCCCACAAGCTCAGTTATGGCCCCATAATCTGAGAAGGTTCAATTCTGCAGAAACCAGAGCTGGCTGTTGCCCCATAAATCATTAACTCCTCCCGAGCAAGGAGGAAGGAGTTTATCCAACCCACAGAGCAAAACACAACAAAAACTGAATGCAACCCCAGCAGATGTTGAAATTGTTTGGKTTTTATGCGTGGAGGTGCCAAAATCTCTGAAATAATCCCTGCTGAGCAGCTCGGGGCATTGCCCAGGGATGGTGGGGGTGTCCCCAAGATCTGCTTCACCCCTGGGCATGGTCACTGAGATGAGTTCACCCCCTCTGAGCGTTCACAAAGGGTTTTCCTCGAGCAGCTCCATCAAATCCCACAAAAGCACCASGAGCTGGAGCTCAGCAGGGCCCTGGACACGCAGAGCCAGGAAATTCCAGAGTGGTTTGGCTGGAAAGGACCCCAAAGCTCAGTTCCACGGAAACCCTGAGGTTCTGAACTCCAATAAAAACACCCTCGGGACTGAGCACAGAAAGGGAACAGCGTTAGGGTTTAAGATTCCCCGTTTTCAACACAAATTCCCAAACCTGGGGTTCACCCTCCCAACCCCACAGCCCCCCTTCCTCCAAACACATCCCAGAGATTCCCCAAACTCAGCAGCACCTCAGAAAGTCAGCGCAGAGCTTGAACAAACAATGGAAAAGCCCAGAGGAAATGCTCAGTATTTTCTGACGTCTCTTTATTGTAAATAAACACCGACAGATTTTTTACGCTCCAGCACGTAGATGATGGATTCGAAACCTGAAAAATAAAAACAAAAAAAGAAACCCAGCAGAAGAGCAGCGAGGTTTACAAGCAGCTGGGTGAGATCTTTCTCACCAAACACCAAAGGCAAAGCTGGAGCCTGGCAGGGGGGACAGTGAGGGTGGCATGGGGACAGTGAGGGTGGCACGGGGACAGCAGGGGTGGCACTGTCACAGCTCAGCCAGGGCACCTCAGAGTGGCACGGGGGAGCTTTGGGGACATCCCCCCGGGCTGCTGGTGGCACCTGCCCTCCCTCAGCTGCTCCTTGGCCCCTTGGCAGCCGTGCCAGGCTCCTCCCTGTCACCCACRCCAGCTGCCGGGAAGGGGACAGGAAGGGGACGTGGCACAGGTGCCAGCTCTGAGGTCACAGCCAGAGTACACAACACCTTTAACCCTTTGCCAGCTTTCCCCACCACTCTGGACAGCAGATATGGAGCAGTTTTAGCCCAAAAGATGATTTTTCTCTGCAATGACAGCAAAGCCACGAAGGTGACAGCCACTGCCACCTTTGCTGCTTGAAACAGAGGGACAGAAAGGTGCCAGGTCCTCATGCACACCTCCAAAAACCATCTCAAAAAAAACCCCATTGTGCAGCTGGGGTTTGCTCTGGGGCRTTTGTGCCAAGGAAAAATCAGGAAATCAGGTGGTTTCAAGGAAATTCCTGGCACTGGGAGCTGCCTGGAGATGTCCCCTGGCTCACCCCAGCCCTGGAACCTCCTGAGGGCTCAGCAGAACCTTCAGGGCAAGGATCTGCTCCAAAATCTGCTGCTGCTCTGCCTTGGGCATTCACCTTTTTGTAATCCACACCTTTTGTAACCCACATCATTTGTAAACCACACCTTTCTAACCCACACCTTTTGTAACCCTCGAACCTTTCCAAGACTGAAATACAGGAAGAAAAACTTTCCTTAAAGCATTCAGGCACAAAAACTGTGGAAAAGGAGGAAAATCCCATCCCACAGCCCAAAAAAGGACCCCACTCCACGGGAATAAGGCACCCCCAGGCACTGATCCAAAGTGCACAACACTGATTAAAAAATGCCACCACCGACACATCAACAGCGACATTCATGAATCCCAGCAGGTAAAAATAGAGATTTTTTTTGTCTCTTACAATCATGAACTASTCAGAGATATGAAGATAAAGAGCTTTTAGCCAGTTATCCCAGCATTTTGTGCGTAAAYATCCTACAGTACGGGTTCCACTCCCTTTTTCTGCAGAGCAAAAAGGGTTTGGTGGGAGCAGCRTTCAGAGCACTTCTGACACTGCCATGGACAGGCTCGAAATCCTTTCCTTCAACATTTAATTTTTTTTTTTGATTTATTTCTAAGCACACAAACATTTAAAACCCAAGCCCACACAGCTGCGCCCTGGGGGGAAAAATCCTGAGGAGGAAAAAATGAATAAAATTCGATTTTTCACCACAAAATTTCCACCCTCTCAGTGGTACAGCTGCTTTAGATCAACAAATTYTTCTCAGAAATCCTGAGGGGTCAGGATGAGCGCCTTGGTCCTCTCTATCTCAGTTGAATTTAATCAAATCACAGCTCTGGGAGTGTTTAAAACAACCAAGGTGGAGCTCAAAATGCCCAGAAATCTCCAGCTCTGAGCTCCTCCACAGCCAGGGCACAGCTTCCCTGCTGTGGGAATATCCAACACTTATTTACACATTCTTAAAAAGCAATTTAAAATAAAAAAAAAAAAAAAATTTGCTCAGAGAAACTCTGGAGTCACCTGGGAACTGCAGGTGCAGAGCAGCCTCCTGTTCCATACCCAAATATTCCATTTTTTGACCCAATCTGAGGGTTCTGCCCTCTTTGCAAGAACAGCTGGGGTGGGGTAAAATGGACTCTGGCAAAATGCAAAGCAAGATTTGGGGGAAAACACTAAAAATGTGGGGTTTGTGAGGATTTTAAGGACGGATTTAAATAAAACACGACCACACAGAGCTCTAAAACAGCTTAAAAAAAACTACAAAAGGCAGCGTCAGACACTGGGAACATTCACAGCTTCTTCACAGGCGACTTAAAAGCTTAATCTGCACCTAAAATTTGGTGTTTTAAAAGGAAAASTGATAAAAACCTTGTGCTTCCTGCAAAGCCTGCCCTGGAGCCCTGCTGGTCCCACCCTTTTTGGGGGTGGATGGAGAAAACAGCCCCAAAAAACGCAGGAAAAACGAGCCAAAGGATGAAATTTGGAAATTTGGGCTGGGAGGAGAAGCTGAAGGAGGGTCTGGGATGGGATTTAAAGCCCTGAGAGCTCTGCTGAATCCACAKAGGGACTTTAGGGTTTAATTATTTATTTTTTTGTCCCTCATCTGTCCCTCCCAGGAGATATCATCCCATGGGATGGAAATCATCCCATGGGTGTGAAATCCAAGGAAAAAACCTTCCCAGGGCACAGGAGTTGGCTCAGATTGGGGGGAGCACAGCAGCACTCACAGCAAGGGAATCAAACCCTACCTGGAGCTCCCTGGATGGCTGAAAAACCAAAAAAAAATCGTGTTTGAACTTGGAAATCACTTGGAAATCACTTGGAAATCTCATGGAAATAATTGGAAATCACTTGGAAATCACTTGGAAATAACTGGAAATAACTTTGAAATAACTTGGCTGAAAAACCAAAAAAAATCGTGCTTGAACTTGGAAATCATTGGAAATCACTTGGAAATAATTGGAAATAACTTTGAAATAACTTGGCTGAAAAACAAAAAAAAAATCGTGCTTGAACTTGGAAATAACTTGGAAATTAACTGGAAATAACTTGGAAATGATTTGGAAATCACTTGGAAATAACTGGAAATTATTTGGAAATAACTTGGAAATAACTTGGAAAT